CACATAAATAAGAACAATGATCAATAAACATAGACAACAAGCAGCAGGAGGAACAGCTTTAGGGGTGGCTTTAGGCCTATTCTGGTGCTCCCTGAGAATAACAATAAGTTTTTGCTTAAACATCAGCTGGCGAATGTAGGAAGCAGTGAAGTTGATGCTGCCGTACTTCGAATACACCGATGTACTCAGGGGGCATTGTACCTTATATCTGTTCCTATTGGTATTATGTCCTGGAGAAGTCTTTCATTCTTGTCAGTAAGAGTGACAATCTTTTTGACACAGGATTCAGTCAGAGAAGAAATATATATATATATATATATATATATATATATATATATATGTATGTATGTATGTATGTTTATGAGTATATATAATAGACATATTTATTGATAGAAGGGGGAGGCTTACGGTATATCAGCATTTATACAGAAACCTGGAATAAGCAAAGATCCTTGCTATCCTTGCTCTGTGACATGTAAGCAGTTTGGTCAACCCTGAGAGAATTGTAAGACAAAAGCCATAATAAGGAAATGCCTGCTTTCAGTTGCAAACCACTGTTATTCAAATCTTGAATTTACAGATACTGGGAGAGATTCTAATATCAATTCTACAACAAAACGGCATACTGAGACCAGTGTTTAGACCCCTGTTTGCGAGGACCAATCTCCAGCCATTGCACAGACAAATTTCCTATGTAAGCCTCCCATATAATGTATAACCATTTAGCAATGTGATATCAATGAAGGCTTTTCTGCATAGAGGACTGAAGTCATTAGACCAGATTCTTCTGTCCTTTACACCAGTTTTACACCTGCATTATTCCATTGACTTCAGTTGAGTTACTGCAATTCAAAATCAGAGTCAGATACATGGTGGACGTGTCTACGGGAGATGCTTTACTGCACAGTAGAGCAAATTACTGTGTAGTAAGCATCTGCATCTACATGTGCGGACCCATACTGTGCAGTAATTTGCTCTGCTTGACAGTTAATTTGCCTCCTGCAAATGCAAGTAGCAAAGTAACTGCTGAGAAATTACTGTGTAGTAAGGCACATGTAAATGGTTGACTGGGAGCAAATTTGCTCCCGGTCAACTGGGCAGCAGGGGGCATGAGATTGCTCCCTGGTGCCAGGAGCAGCTTGCTTCTGGGGTAGGCTCCACCACCAGAACCCAAGCAGGGACAATGTCCCCCTGTCCTGGTAGCAGGGATCTCCCAGCCCCCAGCTCCGTGATTGCAAAGCAGAGGCAGGGAACAATCTCCCAGCCCTCGCTTCACAATTGCAGACCTGGGGCTGGGAGCTTTCTGCACAGGGAGAGTTCCTTGCCCAGGCTGGAGCTGACTGGGACCTGCCCCAGACCAGGACAGTCCCGTTTTGGGCAGTCCCCAGCCAGCTCCAGGCTGCATGTGCAGACTTCCCTGCACAGTGTTGGGGCTGGACGACAACTGTCCCTGTCAGGAGCAGGTCCCAGGCCTGCAACTTTTTCCTAGCTCTATGCCCCATTTGGGAGATCGAGGCATGGGGCTTGGAAAGAGATGTGGGTGGGGGACAGGTCCAGATCCGCCAGTGGGGCAGCTAGCAGCAAGCCTCCAGCTGGGTGGGGAATCCCCATCCCCCCAGGGGCTCACTGCTAGCTGCTCCACCAGCAAATCAGAGTAGGGGGCTGGGACCTGCCCCTTCCCCACAGCTCTTTCCAAGTCTCCTGCCCCTGATCAGGGAGCTGGGGCCCGCAGCTCCCTGCTGCCAGGGCAGGGGGACATTGGTCCCAATTGGTCTTCAGCACTGGAGCCTGCCCTGGCAGCAGGCAGTTCCCAGGGACAGGGAGCAATCTCCAAGCCCCCACCAGGAAACAGCTGTCTCCTGACCCCATGCTCCCTACCAGCCCCTAAGCTAGCACCCAAGGGGAGCCTAGAGCTCCCCCTGGCAGCTGCAGGAGGCCAGTGTAGGGCCATAGTGGGTAAGAGCATACTTCCAGGAGCAGCTAATCTGCTCTGAAATGGGCACACGTGCAGAAGCCTGCCCACCAGCATTTGCACATGTAGACACACCCGGTACTTATCAATATTCCAAATGAAGTGACTCGGTGCTCATAAAGCACATTAGGCACAAAAAGCAATTGTGTGAAAAAGTGGTTAAACCGTCATTTTCAGTATTTGTACCCTCTTTTCAGGGCTCTACCCTCAAACTGGGACTCCAAATCCTTGTCTAAACCGATCTAGATCCAGAGCCAAACATCTCTCAAACCCACCTTTAATTGAAATATACCTGTACGCCATGGCTAAATACTCTGGTCTTAAACCTGGGTCTAAATTTAATTTTAGGCTTTGTTCAGAGACATTAGGATGAAATTGGAAAAAAAAAAAAAGAGAAGTGGCTTGACTCAGATAGAACTAGCTGAGTATGTTGAAGGCGGGCAGCAGAAATTAAGAAAGAGATCGGGGGGAGCTAAGTGTAGGGGGAACTAAAGTAATAAACCTGGACAGAGACCAGTGCAATAACTAGAGACACCAGAACAGAGCAAGAACTTCATGAAGAGCTGAAATTTAACCTAATTAAGTCCCAGCTCTTTAAAGATCATGGAGCTATCAGAGCTTCTGATGATTAAGCAATAAATGATGTTTTTACATTTTTATTAGCGCACATCGCAGTTTTATGGTTCTTAGTGGAATTTCTCCACTTGCAGCACAGGGAGGTTTCTTGGACAGCATCTCCTTCAAACACATCAACGATGGGGCTATAACGTTGGGCACTAATGGTACAAAATAGGAAATCAACGTGTCCATAAATCGAAATGAGGCCAGGAAAAATGTTGGCATCCATCGGGAAGCCACTGAAATTTTATACCCTAGTTAACAATCGGTGTAGTCTTACTAAAGCATCCGACTACTTATTAAGAACAGGTTCATTCTGTCTCCTTAAATTAAATGAGCAAAGGTCCCATAATATGTAGCGGGCTCCAACTTTTTGTTGCTGTTGTTAAAATTACTCTCTCTCAGCATTTCCCTTCTTATTACTCTGATCCACAATCACTGACTTGGCAAAGGAACTGGAACTTTGTGGATGACATTTAAAACACTGATGAGACCCCAAGGTTAATGCTGGCTCATTAACATTGCTGAATATTGAAATTATTTTTTATGACTCTTGGGAAGGTGTTGGGTGAACAGCATATTTGTGTCAATAAAAGGTGAGTGTCCTTTGGCATATGAATTATTCCAAGACCAAATCCTGTGCCACTAAAGCTGATGGGCATTTTTACATTGAATTC